CTTCCTGAAACAACCCAAGACCCGAGAAGCCTGTGCGCTCCTGTCACTGCACTGGGTCATCTTGTCGCTCTCATGCCTGAGGATGGTGTGGCAGAGGGCACGTCACCACCTCCTGCCTTTGTTTTTCCTGTAGATCATCAGGAGTCTCCATGAAAGACCTGAGCCGTGAGCACCAGAGGAGCACAGCCAGCCCCGCCCCCCACCAGGAAGTCGCTGCATTGGAGCAAGAAATGTAATGACTTGCCAGATACTTGGTCACTGGCTCACACCCCATCCACAGGGATACACTGCAAGATGCTCCTCCCTCTCCAGGGGACAGAGAAATGGGTTGTGACCAGGCTGCCTGTTGGGACAGTAGGGCTAGTCTCAGCCAACAGAGGAGTAAACTACAGCCCTGCCCGAGCCCCGGGAATCCACTCAGGGCCCTACAGGAACGTACCTAAGGCCATGGACTAACTCTTAGGCCAGGAGCTCCCATGCAGAGATGGCCCCTGCAGGTCACAGTGACAACAGGCCCATTAGTGACTCTGCATGGGGGCAGTCACAGGGACTCAGGGTGGACAAACCTTCAGCTGTCCTCTTGTATAATGGGCGGGGTCATGGGCCTGGGAGCTTTCTTCCAGGGAACAAGGTCACTTCTGCACTCAGGTGAGTCCCAGGTGCCCCATGTCTGATCTGCTGGACCTAGGCCATCCTGGTCCCGATTTACTGTAATGCCGAATCATCACATGAGCCTCCTCCAGCACTTGCTCCTGTTTTGCAGGAACAGCTCTGAAAACCATGTAAACAGTGTCTTGTATCACAAAACTATCGAAATATCCAGGGTGTTTACTATGAACCATGATTTTACGTGTGTCTAACAACTGGAATTTCTGGAGTGGGTCTACTTTTTTTAATGTAGAAGTACTGCTATTTATTCAGTCACTGATTAGCTGATTGAATTGTGCATGAACTCCACCTTATTTTCTTTCATTTTTTTTTTACAATTTTATTTATTGAATCACCATGAGAAGTTACAAAGCTTTCGGGTTTAAGTCTCGGTCATACAATGAAACACCCGTACCTTCACCACTGCCCATTCTCCACCACCAAAAACCCCAGTATACCCCCATCCCACACCCTCCCACTACCTGTGGGGCAGATGATTTTCACATTACTCTACTTTGATCACATTCAATATTTCGACACCAGACCCACCATTATTATTTGAGATTTTACCCCAACACTTGCAATAGCACAGCGGTAGTGCATTTGCCTTGCACGCAGCCAACATGGCCGACCCGAGTTCGATTCCTCCGCCCCTCTCAGAGAGCCCGGCAAGCTACTGAGAGTATCTCGCCCACACGGCAGAGCCTGGCAAGCTCCCCGTGACGTATTCAATATGCCAGACACAGTAACAACAAAGTCTCCAATGGAGACGTTACTGGGCCCGCTCGAGCAAATCGACGATCAACGGGAGGGCCTTTACTTTACTTTACTTACCCCAACACTCAGATCTGCTGAAAAGGCAACAGTAGACAATTTGTGTTCTATTGCTGGTTATGAAAAACATATGATGTCGTGTGGCTGCAGTAAGGCCATGTGATTTTGAAATTCTAAAATTTTTTTTTTTACTTTTTAAAAAATTTTTATTAGTGAGACACCACGAGGTACAGTTGTAGACTTACAAATTTTTTTTCCCTTTATTTTATTTATTTATTTTTTAAAGTTGTAGATTTAAAGTAACAAAGTATGAGATTAATACCCAAGAATAGCTGAGATCAGCACCAGGAGGATTACGCCATAACTTAGAGGCCAGCCGGGTATCCTAGAGTAAATTCTAAAATTTTAACACTTAAATCTGGAGGGATTTCTGGCAAAAGTCACTGGGTTTCGAGATTTGCTCCTGAGTCTCTGGGATCATGGCCGTTGAGCAGCTTGATCAGGAGCCAGAAAGGCCATTTGTGGGTGATGACTTGGGGTCTTGTTGGGGTGGGGAGGACAAGCCCGGCTCCACCCCCATCCCCTGAGGCCCAACAAGTTTCCTCACTGGGGGCCCAAGCCTGACTGTCCAATGGCCGCTGGAGAATGACGGCTACCGAGCCGCCAGGAGGAAGCAGTTGGAAAGACAGCACCCTTTCCCCCCTGGGGTGGCCCAGCAACAGCAACCTACTGCGGGGTCTGGACACATTTCTGCAAAAAGCTGCTGGGTTTCAAGATTTGTTTCTGAGTATCTGGGATCATGGCCGTTAAGCAGCTTGATCAGGAGCCAGAAAGGCCGTTCGTGGACGATGACTTGGGGTCTCATTGGGGTGGGGAGGACAGGCCCGTCTCCACCCCCATTCCGTGAGCCCCAAAATGTCTCATCACTGCGGGCCTAGACCTGACTGTCCAATGGCCTCTGGAGAATGACGGCCACTGAGCCGCCAGGGGGGAACAGGCAGAGGGACAACACCCTTTCCCCACTGGGATGGCCCGGGAACAGTAACCTACTGCGGGGTACGAATGCAGTTCTGCCAAAAGCCACTGAGCTTCGAGATTTGTTTCGGAGTCTCTGGGGTCAAGGCCGTTAAGCAGCTTGATCTGGAGCCAGAGAGTCCGTTCGTGGGCGATGACTTGGGGTCTCATTGGGGTGGGGAGGACAGGCCCGGTTCCCCACCCCCATCCTGTGAGGCCCAACAAGTTTGTCACTGCAGGCCTGAGCCTGACTGTCCAATGGCCTCTGGAGGATGACAGCCACTGATTCGCCAGGGGGGAGTAGGTGGAGTGACAACATCCTTTCCTCCCTGGGGTGGCCGGGTTACAGTAACGTACTGTGGGGTCCGGACATATTTCTGCCAAAAGCTACTGGGTTTTGAGATTTGTTTCTGAATCTCTGGGATCATGACCGTTAAGCATCTTGATCAGGAGTCAGAGAGGCCGTTCATGTGCGATGACTTGGGGTCTTGTTGTGGTGGGGAGGACAGGACCGGCTCCACCCCCATCCTGTGAGGTCCTGCGTGTCTCGTCACTGTGGGCCCAAACCTGACTGTCCAGTGGCCTCTGAAGGATGGCGGCCACTGGGCCACCAGGGGCAACAGGCCAAGGCATGAAACCTATTCCCACCTGGGTTGGCCCAGCACCGGTAACCTACTGCAGGTACCGGGCGCATTTCTGCCAAAAGGCTCTGGGTTTCGAGATTTGTTTCTGAGTCTCTGGGATCGTGGCCATTAAGCAGTTCAATCAGGAACCAGAGAGGCCATGCCTCCAATTCTATAGCTGAGCCGGAGGTGGTTTGTGGGTGTGTCTCCCACATACCTAAGTTTTGGCCGTTTACATTCTTGGTTAAGCTTTGCCCCAAATTTTTGGGGGCTAGCCAAAGGCACAGCAGCAATTTTGGGGTATCTGGAAGTCTAAAGGCGCCATCAGGCTGCTGATGCACTCGCCTCACAGGTACTGATTGACCTGCTGACGGCAACCATACCCCTTGGGTCTACTTTTAAACCATGAATATAATATCTTGTGGATTGGTGTGGTAATACAGCTGATAAAACATTCACCTTGCACTTGACTGACCCAGGTTCAATACACTAGCACATATATGGGCTCCAGACCTCTGACAGAAGTGATCCTTTAGCTCAGAGGTAGGAATACGCCACAGACAAAGAAGGGTGTTTACCAAAAATATTGCAACGTCAAAAGGTAACTCTAATGAAAGGAAACAAGAACAACAAATACTCAAGTGTGAATTCTGAGGCACCCCTCCCAGGTTGCCAGATGTGAAGAATAGTGAGTCGGTAGGTCCCATAGTATGAGGTGTTTGGTGTTCCGCTCTCCAGAGAAACAAAGACACGGGGACCATAACAAGTGATGGCAGATGGACCAGAGCACAGTGAACCTTTAATTCAGAACCGAATAGCATACTTATAGAACATCTGAGGGAGATCGAGGTACAGGACTGCATGTATTGTGATTTACCATTTACAGAGGTCAAGTCACAGGCGCTGGAGCAGTAGTCCAGAGGGGAGGACATTTTCCTTGCACGGGGCAGTTCAGTTTCAATCCCTGCCATCCCATATGGTCATCAGGAACTTCCAGAAGTAACTACTGATTGTGGAGGCAGGAGTAACCACAGAACATCACTGCATGTGAACCAAAAAGCAAAATAAAATGTCAAGCCAGAGTCACAACAAAGAATAAGACAGTGGTGAGACTTGACAGCCCTGAGCGAAGTGATTTTATTTTGCCTTTTTATTCAAATTCCTTTTTTTAACTTTTAATTAGGGAGACACCATGAGGCACATTTGTAGACTTACAAAGTTCTGTGCTTGGGTTTCAAGTATACAATGACCAAATACCCATCCTTCAACCAGTGCACATTTCCCACCACCACGGATCCCTGTATCCCTCCCACCCCCCACGCCCTCATCCCACCCTGCCTCTGTGGCAGGGCATTCCCCTTTGTTCTCTCTCTTATTTGGGGTGTTGTGGTTTGCAAAAGAGGCATTGAGTGGCAATCATGTTTGGTCTATAGTCTACTTTCAGCATGATTCTCCCATCCTGGGAGGATCCTTGCAACACTCTTTATTTGGTGCTCCATTCTCTATCTGGGCTGCCTTTTCCCCTAGCATGTGTGACTGGCCTCCAAGCCATGAAGCAAAATTCCTGGTACTAATCTTGGCAACTCTTGACCATGACAGCCCTGAGCAAAGGAGATTTTTTTTCATTTTATTCATATTCCTCTTAGTTTTCACCAGAAATCTGAAAAGTACATGTTAACATACATATCAAGTTCAAATTCGGGGACCCTGGCATAGACTTTCCCTTATAGACTGACATCACAAAAAGTTTGTTACACATAGCTAGGATTATTACCTCCCTGGCTGCACTTTTGTAGCACAGCATCCCATGGTACAAAGAAAAATGACTTTCTGAAAAGGGCCTGTTTTGACATTAAAAATTGTTATTAGGTCATTGAGTTATCTACTATGAATTTTATGATGTTTCCTAAGACCAGAAGGAAACAGAAACACCTTCCCACATTATTGACATATATAAGATTTCACCCCAGTGTGAACTGCCCGATGTACAATTAGGCCGGAGGCCTGATGAAAGGCCCTCCCACATTCCTTACAAACAAATGGTTTCTCTCCAGTGTGAATTCTCACATGACGAGTAAGGGTTGAGGAAGAAACAAAGGCCTTCCCACACTCCTTACAAATATAAGGTCTCTCCCCAGTGTGCTGTCGCATATGGCGAATGAGGGTTGAGGATTCCACAAAGGCCTTTCCACATACCTTACATCCATAAGGCTTTTCTCCATTGTGAATTCTCATATGCATATTGAGGCTTGAGGAAGAAACAAAGGCCTTTCCACATACCTTACATCCATAAGGCTTCTCTCCATTGTGAATTCTCATATGTCGAGTAAGGCCTGAGGATACAACAAAGGCCTTTCCACATTCCTTACAAACATATGGTCTCTCTCCAGTGTGAATTCTCATATGGCAGAGAAGGCTTGAGGATACAACAAAGGCCTTTCCACATACCTTACATCCATAATGCTTCTCTCCATTGTGAATTCTCATATGCATATTAAGGCTTGAGGAATAAACAAAGGCCTTTCCACATACCTTACATCCATAAAGCTTCTCTCCATTGTGAATTCTCATATGTTGAGTAAGACCTGAGGATTCAACAAAGGCCTTCCCACATTCCTTACAAACATATGGTCTCTCTCCAGTGTGAATTCTCATATGGCAGGTAAGTCTTGAGGAATTAACAAAGGCCTTTCCACAAACCTTACATCCATAAGGCTTCTCTCCATTGTGAATTCTCATATGCCGAGTAAGACCTGAGGATTCAACAAAGGCCTTCCCACATTCCTTACAAACATATGGTCTCTCTCCAGTGTGAATTCTCATATGGCAGGTAAGTCTTGAGGAATTAACAAAGGCCTTTCCACAAACCTTACATCCATAAGGCTTCTCTCCATTGTGAATCCTCATATGCACATCAAGACTTGAGGACACAGAGAAGGCCTTTCCACATAGCTTACATCCATAAGGCTTCTCTCCTTTGTGAATTCTTATATGCCGACTAAGGTTTGAGGAATAAGTAAAGGCCTTCCCACACTCCTTACATATATAAGGCCTCTCTTCAGTATGAGTTTTCATATGCCCGGTGAGGGTTGAGGATCGAGTGAAGGCTTTTCCATGTGCCTTATATTTATGAGGTTTCTCTCCAGTATGAATTTTCCTGTGTCTAGAAAGGTATGAGGAGTAACCAAAGACCTTCCCACATTGCTCACACACATATGCTTTCTTTCCAGTATGGATTCTACAATGTTGTAAGAGGTCTGAGGGTTGAGTGAAGGCCTTCGCACAGTCCTTACATGTATGTGGTTTCCCTCCTGTGTGGATGTTCATGTCAACACATTGGGGTGATGCCGGATTCAAACCACGCCCTTGCTGCTGATACTCTTGGGGATTCTGTCCACTGTGGGTTTCTAAGGGAAAATCACAGTCCTGGGAACATGGGGAAGCTCCCCCACATTCCTTACACTGAGACAGGGTCAATCCATGGTGACTTTGCTTGTGGGGCTTTCGGTGTGAAGGACTCGCTGTAAACAGTGCTCCTCTCCCACATTCAAGGGTCTGCTCCAATGTTGGGGTATGTGTCTGTAGACTGAGAATAACAGATTGCGTGAAACTTTTCCCCGGGGAGGGATTCTTCAGAATGAGGTTGCTCTCTCCATTCTGATCACCCTCGGAGGCAATCCTGCTTGCCTTGGCATCACCATGTGGCTGAGGGCACAAATGCACACTCGAAACTTTTTCACAGTGTGAAGGGTCAGAGACATTCCACTCGGGCTGGCTGCTTCCCTGTAGAACAGCAGAGGATTCCAATTATCGTTCTCTGCCTTAAGTGTCTCCATGTCAAAAGAAATTGATACCTGCAGGTTGATTTCTAACATTTGCAACATACCAATGCAATTCCTGACAAGTGGATGGCAATACCATGGACTAACCTAATGTTTCTGTAAGACACACATGGAAAATTGATGAATGAGGGGCCATTAATTTGTTAAATATTTTTTAACTCGATGAACAGGCAGAAATAACTCCCTCCACAGAATACTGATGCACCAGATTCAAGATAAAACACACTAAATTCTGTGTTCAGTTCTATCTCAATGTGGAGTAAAGTCGGGGATGCATTTGTTAAGAAAAACTGCATCCAACACTGCTGACACTGACCACAAGGGCCATTGAAAACATCTCACCATAGGCAGGTTCTTTTCAGGGTCAATGACTTTTTCTGTTCTGTATTTTGTTTTCACTTAGGGTTGGGGTACACCATTCAGTGCTCAGCATTACCAGTAGGTCTCTGTGAAACACATGGCGATGTGGATGGACCAGTTTAAAAGACAAGGTATTTTAACGAATATCATTTGTAGATACTTTCAATCAAATGAAAAAGCAAGGCATATACATGAAACATATTACAATTTTCTTTAGGTTTTGAGCAGAGATGTCAGCACCCAGTTAAGATAAGGGTCCTCAAATTCAAGCATCATACTCCAATTTTTTTTTCCAGCCGTTCCCGGCCCTGCCCTTTAAAAATAACATGCTGGTCCACTGATATTTTCTGTTAGTATTATAAAATTGATTCCAAACTTGCAAATCTTACCGGCTCACTCATACTCGCTGATTGAGTTCCTAAATCCCGAAGCCATGCATTGAGTTCTGAAACGAAACACAATATACAATGTAAGTATTCTTCGAATGGAGGGGCTGGAGCAATAGCACAGTGGGTAAGGCATTTGCCTTGCACACAGTTTACCAGGGTTCGATTCCCAGCATCCCATATGGCCCCTTGAGCACTGCTAGGAGTAATTCCTGAGTGCATGATCCAGGAGTATCCCCTGTGCATTTCTGGGTGTGACACCCCCCCCAAAAAAAAAGAAAATGAATTCTTCGAATGGGATGGGACATCCTTAAACAGGCAGTACAGCTTGAGGACATCTATTTGGTTCTCACAGTCCAAAGTATCCCACAGAAAAGGGAAGGTCCCTGGAAAGGATTGCTGTGAAAAGCTTGGCAATCCTACAAGACATGCATGCATGCCTCTCTTCCCCGGCCTCAGGGTTCCTCCTTTCAGCCAGGAGATCACCGCAGGCTTCAACCCAGAATGCCCTGAACCTCACAGTTATGGAGCATGGATTAATGACAAGGAAAATGTGACAAGTAAACCGCATGTAGCCATATAAAAATGGAGTAAATTACTGAAAAGGCATGAACAGAATCTTCACATCTGAAATGTTCTAGATTGTGGTTATCCAAGAGCTAAGATCCAGGTCCTAATTTAAGAATAAAATACAGGGCCCATAAAACACCACAAAGAGTATAACTGGGGTCTTAAATGTCCAACAGGGGTTTGATCACAGCACAGTACGTAGTATTTTTTTTTCTCTAGTTTGAGATCCTCACCTGGGGATACTCAGGGCTTCTCCCTGACTGTGTACTCAAAAATCACCTTTGGTTTTGCTTGAGGATCATTATGGGTTGGTGAGAATAGAATGTATGTCCAGAACTTGCAAGACAAACACCGTGTTCACTGTACTGTCACTATAGGTTCGGCATCACATGCAATGTACTAAGCCTGTGCGAACTGATGCCTGAGTGCAGTAAACCCCAAAGCTTAACAAATCCAAAGATGAACAAAGATAACCAAAGCTCCCAGATGGTTTTTAAAATAAACATAAAAGGATGCAGACAGACAGCACAGCAGGTCAGGCACTGGCCTTCCTCAAAGTCAATTAAAGTTCGATCCTGACATTCAGTAGGGTCTCTCAAGCCATCAGCTGTGATCCCTGACTGCATAATCCAGAGGCAAATCCTGACTCCGGATGAACCAAGAACCACTGAAAGTGCCCACGAGCACTGAAATAGACCAACCTCTGATGGGGTGAGGCCCTAAGAAATACATAAACTGGGTTGGGAGCGATATTACAGCAGGAAGGACACAGACACTGCACACACGTACAGGATTGATACCCAGCAGCACACAATGCCCCGGACCACAACAAGGATGAATAACTGAATACACAGCCAGAAATAATCCCTACACATTTTTAAGTATAACCCCAAACCAAATCAAAACAAAATAAGAGAATGCCCCGCCACAGAGGCAGGGTGGGCAGTGGGATGGGGGTGGGAGGGATACTGGGATTAGTGGTGGTGGAGAATGGGCACTGGTGGAGGGATGGGTACTCGATCACTGTATAACTGAAACCTAAGCATGAAAATTTGTAAGTCTACAACTGTACCTCGTGGTGTTTCATTAATAAAAATTTTAAAAAATAAAAAAATAAAAATAAAATAATAAAAATAAAAATAAATTAACTGAAGTTGTGGGCCTGGTGCAATTGTTCCAGGATTAAGACAGCAACATTTTACGCTGCCAAGCGTGTTCAAACCTCAGAATCCCATGGCTCCTGAGCACCCCTGGGAGTGTTCCCTTAGCACAGAGACAAGAGGATTCAGGTTGTGCCCCAAATAAAAGCAAAACCCCAAAAAATACTAGATATAATGTGTAGTACAAGAAGTGATCAGAGAACTCAGCATTGGCAGGAACCAGAAACTTTTTTGAGGGACCTAAGTGATGGCTTAGCGCATGGGGAGCTTGCCATACACGGGGCTAACCTGGGTTGATCCCGAACACTCAAGATTCATGCAAACCCACAGAGAGTGATTCCTAAGGACAGAGCTTAGAGTAAGCCCTGGGCAACGCCAGGTGAGCACCAACTAGAAAACCAGGGACAGAGCTAGAGAAAGAGCTACTGCATGGCTGTCCTCGCCAGTACAGTCACAACTACTGTTGGAAACACAGTCACGGCCCAGCACAGGGAGCCGACATGGGACTGTCCAGACAAGGTCAGCCCCGCACTGCTCTCACCAATGGCCCACAGGTTCTGGTAGGTCTCCAGCATCACGTCCTTGTAGAGCTTTCTTTGAGAGGCATCCAAGCACATCCACTCTTCTGGGGTGAAGCTCACGGCCACATCAGGGAAGGTCACCGTGCCCTGAACCAGCATACAAAGGGGGCAGGAGTCAGGGTCTGTCCCCACCCTGTACCCTGGGCTGTGAGGCCAGGAACCCAGGGCCCTAGAGGGTCTCAGGGTCTGTTCCATCGGGAGGAACCAGCCTCCACCTGAACTTCTGGCCAACGGGTCCCAACTTCTCTAAGACAGCTGCATCTATGAAAATGTGAGCATCCTCTTCTAGAAGGTTCCTGAAGGTGGCAGACTTGCTTCTGACCCCAGGGAATTCAACCACTGCTCCTATGAGCACTGCAGAGAGTAAAAACTGAGCACACAATCAGTGGGATCCAAATGAGTGACCCTGCTTTCAGCTCAAAACACTAAACATACACCCCTTGTATCCCACAGTCACTTGAGCTGCAAGAGCACAAACAGGTCCAGCACACCCAGGAACCCATGATGCACATCAGGCACAGATTCAAGAGGAAGCCCTGAGCATCTCCACTGTGGCACAAAAATAAATACGAAAAGAAACAAAGCAGCATGTCTGTGTAACAGGACAGTGAGTAGGGCTGGTGATCCCCACCATTCCATAGGGTCCTCTAAGCAGTGCCAGGTACAATGCCAGAATGCACAGCCAAGAGTATAATCCCCAGAATCACTGCGTGTGGTTCCGAAAACAAAACAAAATACCCAGACACCAGCCTTTGATGCCCAGCACCCCATTTGGTCCCTGATATATGTCAGGAGTCATCCTTGTGCACCAGTAATCTTTGAGCTACTGTGGTCCTAAAGACAAATACAACAAAACTGAAACACGTGGCCTCAGACAGTAGAGAGCCGGGTATTCCGGCAAGGCGGCAGGATCCTTCCTGAAGCAAGTCAGAGACAAGACAGTCCGGGAAGCCTGACGCTCCTGTCACTGCATCACCTCATTTTGTCACTCCTACCTGGTGTCGGTGTGTCCGACGGCACCTCACCATCTTCTCCTGGCTCTGTTTTTCCAGAGGATCAGAGACCTGGAGGAGAAACCAAAATTGGGAGCACTGGACAGGAGCAAAATCCCCAAGTTCTGACCAGCCACACCCTCGGGCATTGGCTCACAGACCCATCTGGGGGACACTGCCAGATGTTTCTTTCTCCCCAGGAGAAGCAAAATGGGTTGGCATCTGTGCTGCCTTTCGTGACACAAGTTCTGGCTTGGCTACAGGAGACAAAACTCGGCCCTGCCTTGGTCTGGGGACTCCTCCCACATCCCACAGAAGGTTCTCAGAGGCCCAGCCAGGAAGGACTCTGAAG